AAGTTTCTGCTTAAAACCAGAAGGGTATTTCCGGCATATCATAAATTCAGTGAACTTAACAAAATAATTAACGTCTTATTGAAGTCCCCATTCGATCGTAACCAATCAACCGCATTATTACATAAATTATGCGAAACGTGGCCAAGAAAATACCAAACGTAACAATGTTAGGAGATTCAATTTTTATTGCTTTCTTTGTCTATTTCTTAATAATTTTGGTTATCTGTTAAACTTTGTGATTCACAATATAAGGTTCCTCTATTGGTACCTACTTTAAAGAACTAAATGCCTTTTAGGACATATTGAACCACTGTTTTCATTAGTTTGCAATTTCAGTACAAAAAAATCTGAGCTCGGCATGACTCAAACTGAATCAGTACCTGACTATAACAATATCTACCAAAATATAAAATAGCATACTAGTTAATATGTACTGACTTTTATAAGTTTTATCATCCATCTAGTCATCTAGAGCTCAACAGAGCAATATTTTTCAATCAAAACCAATGAAAGCTTCTGGAAATTTCACTGCAGCACGAACTGATTAGAATAACCGCAAAGCGGCTTTGCCTTCATTCAAAGTCAGACGGAGAGATGGCCTAAAATAATACATCTTACGAGGAGCCTCACAAAACCCTGAAAATGACACGGACTTTCCCAGAGGCAGGACTTGACTCGAAAACAGGCACAACAGAACTGGCAGACGAAATACGAAACGGGTAACAGAGCTGGTATTGAATTGAAGCGCTCATCACCGTTGAATCTTTGGGAAGAGAAATCCTTGGTCAGTGTCAGTGAGTATCTGGAACGTGAGCGGAAACTTCAAATAGCCGTAGGAAATGCAGAACGAAAACATGATATCACAATAATGTTTCTCAAATCCAGCTAAATTCGAAGTTAGTCTCCACTGCTTCAGTTTCTACATCTGATACGTTCCGCAGTTCCCAGCCTTCAACCTATTCTCATCCTGTTTTAATTTCGTTCTCACCAATTGTCATCTCATTCTAACCGTCTTTACCATGCTCATCTCGTTCTCACCCAACTATCATCCGTTTTTCATTCCAGTCTCACCCCATTCGCACTCCGTTATCACTCCGTTATCACTCCGTTATCACTCCGTTCTCACGCCATTCTCACTCCATTCCCACTCCATTCTTACCCATTCTCACCGCGCGGCGCGGCTCGTGGGCCAGACAGGTGCGCGGTGGTAAGATGATCCCGGCCTCATTACTAACCCGCTCATCCTACTGATGATGTAGGAAACATGAGACGGTCGGCCGTATCGCGGTACCCTCTCGGCCGAGGAGCGGCGCGCACATACAGAGCTGCTGTTGAACGCTATGATAGAACACAACGGTAGGACGATGCGGTAACTTGGAGCCACGCCACTTATAAAAAGAACTATACTTAATTTCTACTGCACTTTTGAGAGAAGAAGATCATAAATAGATGTCAAATGCTATCGATAGAATGCTAGAATTTGTCAAAATAGAACAATACGCTCACAGCACGCGACACAATACTGCCGAATGCACAATTCTTGCAAAATATTTACCTAGTTGCACGCTTCCAAAACTTAAGCTTCGATAATTGCAGCCTTCCAAAGCCAACGCCTTAATCATGCATTTTTTATCTAAAAGTGTGCATAACGGTATCCACTTGTGATAACAAGTAGATCCTTGTGATCCTTGTGACCTTGTGCTAACAAGGTCTTATAGAAAACATCGATGGACACAAACCTTCCGCAAATCTGCCAAAATGAGAAATAAAATCGTCGTACATAACAAAAAGCAGGACTTCCCTGGACGTGAACGGGCCGCACGTAAGCCGCCTTCACGAGCATTCTCCTCTTTGGCTCGGCAATTAAGCGGCCCACGGCGGCACATTATATAACCGGAAAAGTGTCAGTTTCAGGCCACGGCTTCCGTGGTGGTACCGGACGCTCGGTATTGGCGCCCAAAATGGCTCACAGTGCTGAGTGGTTATCGACAATAGGAGTAACGCAAGAGACTGCTCATCACTGGAGTTAATTATTTAACTCGTCTGGGTGAGTGTACTCACATCCGGGGGATTGTGAAAGCATACACTCCGGATAGTGTAATGTAATATAGCCAGTATAATGGTAATATAAGCTGTAAATATTTGCACATGCGTTAATTGCAATTAGGAGGGTTATGCTAAGAATACGGTGCCACTGAGTGTTACCACTTCGTCGCTTGAAGATCCAGGAATTCGTGCCAAAATTAGCTACATAACTGAGCTGTTTGTAATTAGTAATGCAAATGTGAGCTGAACCGGTGTTCTAACGTTGAGCTCGAGTCTCACCAGGGCTGAGAGCATGCTAGAGAGCCGACAGGTTGAGCTTACGAGGAACTTAGGTACGAGTGTCAGGCGAAGTCAGTGAGGGGACCGGCCGTGCGCCGCTATGTGCGCACGTTAAACTTATATAAGTAAGTCTCCAAATTCTGCCATAGAACTGAAATTGCGCGATCGGAGGGTAGAGGGCAGGGTCAACTCAACAAGCTTCGCTTAGCGGGGGCTCTGTCCTTGTGAATCCTTCCATTCAAAAGGCTCAGACTAAGTTTATAAAAAAGACAGCGGTGCCCATTAAAGGATAGACTACTGGACCAGATGCCAGACTCAAAATGTGATTTCGACAGACCAAGGGATATTTCACAAAATATTTGAACTTGTAATAGGAATAGGGCATGTCTATGATTGTCTGTTTTTGCACTTTCCTCCGGCTACTACAAATCATTGCATATCCTTCTTCCTTTTTAAAGCCCCTTGCAGAAGTGATTCACTTTCTCTCTGCTTCTCGCATTGTCATCCACTTTTTCTCCATTGAAGAGAGTTAAGCGTTGTGAGGAAAATAATCATGATGATTATGAGCATATTTGATTGACCGAATCCTCAATATAATCTGAATAAAAATGACAAATAGCAAAATTCGGGTATATTCGATCACAGATCTTTGCCACCCCTGTGATCGAATATACCCGATCGAATTTCTGTGATCGAACATACCCGAATTTTGCTATTTGTCATTTTTATTCAGATTATATTGAGGATTCGGTCAATCAAATATGCTCACACTTTTTCTCCACTTTCATCCTCGTTCCAGTCAGTTGCTACCTCTCAATTCTCCACGTTGCTCTTCCAGCTCATTCTCTCTCTCTCTCTCTCTCTCTCTCTCTCTCTCTCTCTCTCTCTCTCTCTCCTCTCTCTCTCTCTCTCTCTCTCTCTCTCTCTCTCTCTCTCTCTCTCTCTCTCTCTCTCTCTCTCTCTCTCTCTCTCTCTCTCTCTCTCTCTCTCTCTTTCCCCCTCTCTACATCCCTCCCTCTTTTTCTCACACACTATTTCTGTACTTTCCTACCTTTTAACCATTCCCTTCCTCTTTCATCACTCTTTTTCTCTATCTCTCTCCCTCTCTCTCTCACTCTCTCTCTCTCTTTCTCTCTCTCTCTCTCTCTCTCTCTCTCTCTCTCTCTCTCTCTCTCTCTCTCTCTCTCTCTCTCTCTCCCTTTCCCTCCCCCTCCCCAGCGACTACCATTTCACTCTGTCCACCTGACACCAGCACGAGTGGAACGAACACAACGGAGATAATTGCTTTACAAATGAGCACCAGGAGTTTTAGCGAACAGCGCTGGCAACAGCACCGCATTCCAAGAACAAGTCACAAACTAACAGAATGTAATCGATATGCAGCCAGGCTAGGTGTGAATTTTTAGTCTCATGGGCAGGTTTTTAGTCAGGTTTAAACGATTAAGTAGCTACCTCATCCAACACTTGACACTACCTGTCCATTGACTGTTTAATACCTAAGATAAAAATGTGTTTCTAAAAGGTGTGTCAAAACTTTATCATCTAATCCATTTGAATTTATCAATCAAATTTACAAAAAAAGAAAAACTGCGCTGACATATTATCAATGCTAACAGCACCACCAAAGATCCATTCATCATCCAAAACAGAGGTAAATTTATCCCCCCGCACTAGGTACCTATCTCCTTCTTGCGGCCCTCAGTAGCCAAGGCAACTCTGTTGGTTTGGCCACTAACAAGCACCCCCATCTCCCCCTCCTTAGCCCCGTCATTGATTCGCACAACTGCCTCGACCTTGCGTCAACAGAAAACAGTCGGAAAGTAACGAACGAACACCGGTCAGCAAGCCGAGCCATCGATCCAACGTGAATAGTGCAGCAAATCGGGACGAGCTAGCCGCGGTCGCTGATGAGCTAACCAGCACACAAACCGACACAAACATACACGTTGGGATTCGCGCAAGTATGCACGCGCATCATCGAAAGAGCTCGCTCAATAAATTATTCTTAAGACAACTTTACATATGAAAAGATTTCTAACTTTTGTTTAATTGAAAGAAGGGTGTCAAAATAATTGTCAAAAAACGTTCAGCCTATCTAGGCATATTTCTATCAAACATATCATCGGGATAATCATCGCGATACATTGTCAGTGTAGGGCATCAAATAGCAAATGTGGTGAGGCAAAATAGAACAGACGACTGACGTCCCTGGTTTCTACAATGACATTACAGCTCTGACTCTCAGAACAAATTAGGAATACGCTTGAGATACTTTTTTTACGAAAGGAGCTCGTTCAAGGCCACTTGAAGGCGGCCTTTGGAGCATGTGGGTCACACAATTATCAAAGACCGTACAGTTGAAGAAAATAGAATTGTTTCTTTTGGATTTAGAAAAGCAGTCAGTAATAAAAATATGCTGAACCGGCACCAGTTCCTTCATGCTAGTCTTACTATGAGTTCTGATATCATTTTTAAAGTTTTTTTCGTGTACTCATAGGTTTTACCCCAACTCCTTAGATGTGGTCGGATAGCTCTTACTTTGAGTTCGGGTACCAGTTTTTTATGAACTCCTGGCTCTTACCTTGAGTTCGGCCGCACGAGTTTTTCATGTACTCCTGGCTCTTACCTTGAGTTCGGCCGCACGAGTTTTTTATGTACTCCCTCCCAGCTCTTACCTTGAGTTCGGGTACGAGTTTTTTCATGTACTCGTAGTCGGGCGGCAGCGTGACCCGCGGTCGGAAGGTGGGGGAGCGCGGCTGGGGCGAGGCGGCGCCGGATGAGCTCGTGTTGCCCATGCTGCGAGAAGGCATCTGGGACCTGCGGCGGCGAGGGAAAGGGTCAGTCGGGACGGCACGTACTTACACGTAAGAGCACACAAAGGGGGAGGGGTCAGGTCATTCAGAGACAGTCCTGCAAAGGAGACACATAAAAGGGACGGAGTTAGCAAAAACACCCCATGAAATCAGAACACGCGTAGAGGGGAAGAGTCGCTATGAGTTGATAAGTGATGACCGAGGGAAGGAGAGTGGGTTAGCTGTAACAGTGGGGAGGGTTTCGGGGCAGAATGGGTAGCCCTGTGAGTGAAGACGCACTGTGACAATGGAAGGAGTGCGATAAGCTGGAAGAAGCGGCTGCCTGTCACTTTATCAATGAAAGTGGTCAGTCTATCAAGGAGAACATCGGAGGCATCTGAGTCGTGCGAGAGTAGTGAAGTACAACTGCGTAAAGGGAATCTCAGGCCGTTATGGCAAGATAATAACTGTGTCAGGACAATGGGCCATATTGCACAATTGTGATTTTTGCGTCACCTTGAATGTAGCGCATTTTAGGCACACGCACCAACATGGTGAAACCCCACTTCCTTATCCCAAAGTCAACCGTTGAGTTCCGACTGCCCGGTGCTGACAGACTACTGCAGTATACGCTAGGTTTGCAATAAGTGGGCCAGTTATATAATGTCTAGACTGTGCTGGGTACGGCTGCACTACGCATTTTTCGGTCGTGAGAGAATATCTGGCTCCAGTTTAACCGCGATTATTAAATTTGGAATTGTCGGTTTCACGAGAAACTTCAAGGTAACAATTACTTCTAAACTGGGCGTTTACCAGGCGGGATAAAAGAGTCACCTCAGGAATAACTACTTAGCTGTCGATTCGTGTGCAACACACGTATTGCAGAGTTGAGGCAGCTACGCCATAAATCGTGGGATATTCCCAGAGAATTTCGCGTTGATGAAGAAACATGAGATTGCAGTCGCTCAGTATACCATCGTCTCTCAACATTATATCGCTAGGGACAATTGGTCAAAGCGTTCCCAAGGCGGTTGAATGAAACCCACAGAATAATGGTGATGCATGAAAGGCGCATTATGAAGTGATTGCACATTACACAACCAGCATAGAATTTCAGGGCAAACATAGCTGACTGGGCTGCTAAAATAAGTGAGCCTCAACAACCAAACAAAACGTATCGGTAATAATACAACGAAAGCGCCTTTATAATTACTCGTGTTGCGTTCTTTAGGTACAAAAGCCGACTATCCGAGACAAACTTGCTTTCATATCAACGTACGTACACCGTACAAGTTCGCGTAATCATGCAGTAGTTGCATCGATCACAAACTGCGCTGGCTACTCGAGTCCCCCAAGGTTGAAATCAATGGCAATCTTGTATTTTCTGTGGATGACCGACCTATATGGTAGCAGTTTCGTTATGCAACCAGGCATCGCAAAATGCGTATATGTACATACATGAATGATAACGCCTGACTGTAGCATCTGAGCCAGAATCGAATCCACGATCAGAAATACCTAATCTCGAGGTTGCATCACTTGTGACACAACTTGCGTGTAAAAGACAGACAAGGATCCATCATGTCACGTAACATGAATCAGTAACGCCGGTGTTCCAAAGACATCACAAAAATCGACAGCCAGTTCAGCTCCCATCAGTCTGCGCAGGTGTAAAGGCCTCCCGAAGGCCCCCTCCCGTTCAATCATGGTTTTAAAATGATTGAAAAACATGTTTACATTTCCGGTCACCGCTAACCCAACGTGGCTTGGATTTCGGTCAGTAGTCGTCACAGGTCCGAATATGGACGAGCATCGATTCAAGAAAACTGTTGGCCAGAGCTCAGATCAAGGCATTTGGTAGAGCCTTAGACCTTGACTTATGACTATGTAATAAGCGAAACTTGATCGATCATACAGACCGCACAATCTAATGTATTGGGGGACTGGCAAATCTCTTGCATTTTTATCGTTTAAATGTGAGAAATAAACGACAATAATATGCACGCTGACCGCTCAGTTACCTGCATCCATTGACTTGAGTTGAAAATGAAATCGCTTTCATCTGACAGAAATTAATCAAATGTGTGTTGGTGAAGGGTTGAGCACATAACGGTTTCGTCTGAATACTGCATGTGCCCTGCTTTGTTCACCTTCAAACACTGTTCAAGGGGAAAGATAATACCGTCAAGCGGCCGTATAGGCCTTGCTGCGCGGATGTCGTGCGGAACAGTCTACTTTTAGGCGCCGACTACTGCTGCCATCTAGCGACGAGATTTTAGGCTCCGGCGCTGTAGCTTCGTGATCTTTTTTTACGCCAGACTATAACAATAGGGATTTAAGCGTTTGAGTCTCCTGTATCGATTGAAGGGAGTGTGTTTTATAGTAAAATATCAATATATTTATTGAGGTTATTGGTAAATATTCTGAGAAATTTCTATGCATACCTCCAGCAAACAGCTGCTATGAAGCAGTATTAATATTGATAATTCCTAAGGCAATAAGGCAAAGCCAGTGCATTAGCTAATGCATAGCCATCCCATCCAGTTCATTTCCAGTAAACACTTATGCGCTCTTCTCGTGCCTTGATGTTGCAAGGCGCCGCCAAATCCAATCGGCTGAGTCTGTCAGCACCCGGGGTGCCTTAGGCCCTTCATCACCGAGCACCCCTTCAGTGAGCACCTGTCGAAGATCACAGGCGCTAAGTGGTGAAAGGATCGAATGTAATTAGTCCGCAGGGAATTCAATTTGTGCAACTAATAATGTCTGGCACCCTGGTGGTGAGGGATGAAGTGCAGGATTCAGGAAGAAGCGCCGGTATTGAAGTAGAAAGGAAAAGGTCAGGTATATTCTAGAAAGCCTCGTGCCCGGAAATTTGAAGCTTATTGCTTTGGTACACAACTGCCAAACAAATGCCGATATCTAAGAGAATATTCCTTCCGCCTAGCACAAAAGAGTCAATAAGAAGGCACATTCCAGAAAATCTGACTTTTTCAGTTGAGTCAGCCGCTCACACACACGATAGGCGTTATCACAAGTGTATTCGCGGCCATTGGGGCGACGTAAGAAAAGAAGAAACCAACTGGCCCCAAGAACTTTAAATTATCAGTTAGCATGCACCTTTTCCTTGATGTGTAGAGAATTTACCATTATCTGTTACAGAAAGTTGCATTTAAAATCTTCCATTTATGCTTTTTTCATCGTTTGCACAATATGTTCTTTTACTAAGCTAGAAACACTAATTAGAAATAGTTCCCGCATCATCAAGAACAATAGGGAAGGCTTGAAGTGAATAAAATAATTTAAACGGCTTTGTAATCTATGTGAAGGCACTTCTAAAATTGCCTGTAGAAATATTGAAGGCAAAAGTTCAACTTTTTCACAAGACGGATGTCTATAAACCTATTTAACTTGTGACAACTCAGCCGGTATTTCGTCGCCTACAGCCCAGCTTTCCCTAGTGACCGATAGAGGCGCTGCTATCGATGTCCGCGCGTGCCGCCTAACGATATGAGCTCTCATCAAGTCCTACCTTCACAACTATCCCAACCAACACAGTCAGCCTCTCTGCAGCCCGGCGTTGTATTAGAACAGAGAATCGACAGCTCTGCCAGTGAATCCATTTAACTAACCGTACTCCCAACACACGTCCACTTCAGTCGACAACAATTCCAATTACCTAATGCACTTCAAACGGGCCGACTGGGCCGGCGATCAGGCAGGGAGGCGGAGCGTAGAGACGGGTGGCACGTGAGATATATGTGAGGAGAACGTTTCGTGAAGGAGCCTCATGATGAATGGCTTGGGCTTTGTACATAAATGTTTTGATAGATATGGATAGATAGAATTGTGATGCAAAGTTGATAGGAATAGCTCCTGCGGAAGGAAAAGCTAAAGCGTTCCGTTAAAATTGATATGAGGTACGAAAATTTAATGAAAAAATATGCATAAATAAAAAGTGCTTTTAACCCGCGCCCTGCTGGGGGGGGGGTGTTTGAACACCCCCCCCCTGTGGTTTTTCGCGAATATCTCAAAAACGGCGGCGCGGAGCGCCGCCGTTTTTGGTACACCTTATCATACATGAATTCTACACATGTTGTGAAAATTTCAGACCAAGGTCATTCAAGGTCAGGTCACCAGGTCACTTGAAGTGACCTCACCTCATAAAAAGTTTCAATGTCTGTCATAGCTACACCAAGTGACCGATCGCTTTGAAACGTTCAGTGATTGCTAAGAGCAATAGCATGTACAAAATGTATATCTCAGAATTTTGATATCGATGACCTAAGGTCAGGTCAATTTTGCGACCTCCCCATTATAAGTCAATGGGAGAAAATTGAAATGCGCCTCTTTTGGACGAAAGACATTATAAACACTCCCAAACACTGAATTACAAGTGTTTTAGACACACTGAACATGGAAATGGTGTCCGTGACCCCTGTTTATGCCCTGAGGTCATCTTAGGTCACGAATGGTATCTAACAGTTTTTCGCAAATAACTTTTGATAGAGGCATGCTAGAGCGATGAAAACGCCTTAGATGTGTTCAGCTCGACGATACGGATCGACTGATATGCAACATGACCATTTCCGGTCAGGTCATGACCTTGACCTGAGGTCAAATTTTGAAGTTGACCTTTCAAGGTCAAGTTATAGTTCATTCGATGCGTCTTGACGAGAGGAACACGATGCCGGTAAAAGTAAGCTCGTACAATGCTTGGGTCAAAAGTTATTGCAGAAAAACTGTTTCCGAAAAAATCGGCTATTTTTGCAGTTTTTGCCCCCTGCAGGCAAAACCGTTGACGTTAGGTCAAATCTGAGAGAATTACTCAGAAAGGGCGTTAATAGGGCTATCGAATGCGCTTTTCCGCGGCGCTGTAGCTCTATTGGTTCCCGAGTTATGCGTTGGGTTCTTGGAAATTGTCGACATTCGTTCTGGAAATCGGCGAAATTTTGCCTTCAATGACCTCTGGTGACCTGACCTTTGACCTGACCAAAAAATTGACCGAAGTGATTTCCTCATTATTTT